ACGGGCATGGGTGGCCGCAGAGCCGCCCGCGGGTGGCCGCGCCGCCCCCCGTCCTCCCGGGCCGCGGGCGGAGGCCCGGCCGAGCCGCGATGCAATGGCGGCCGCGCTCTACCGCACTGCCGGGAGGAGCCGCCACCCCCGAACCGCCGCCGGAGCCGAGCGGGGCGGGGCGGGGCGGGACCGAGGGAGGCGGGGGGCGCGGGGAGAGCCCGGAGGAGGACGGCGCGGGGCTGGGGCTGCTGGCCGTGAGCCCGGCAAGGCTGACTGTTCTCAGTGCGCAGGACGTGCGCGCACCGCAATCCGCACGGAGCCCAGCAGGCAGCGGGATGCCCGAGCTTTGCCTTGGTCGGCAGCCACCTGAGCGGGGCTTGGGTCACGGGAAGAGAAAAGCATCACTGAATTATTAAAAACAACTTGGCTAAAAAGCCACATTTTAAAAGTTTTGTTTTCTTAAGTTTACAAAGAGGCTGCATGAGCTGAAATCAGTGCGCTCACGGTGACAATGACGTTCAGCCGATTCTCACAGCGCGGCTCTGCAGCACCAGCCGTGCAACCAGCCTGCAAACGGGGCCGGACGTCACAGCTCGGGCCTCAGTAACAAACGGCAGGGAAAGTTTTCAGTATCCTTTGAAATGCAGCACATTTATTAAAAACCAACAGACTCAAAGATCCTATTTTACAGTACCTCAGGACGGGATAGAAAACTGATGAAGCAATCTGCACAGCCACAGACAAATATTAAACCTATAAATCTGAGTTATCAGAATGTTACCGGTGACTCACAGCCAGCACTGATGCGCGGCACTGAGTTGTGTCATTTGTGATATGCCATGCCCATGAATCTCAGCCCACAACTTTAGTTTCTCTGAGCCATGCCTCGCTCCTCCCCACCTCCAGCCTCACCATTCCTGTTGCAGGTCTGGGTGCAGTGCTTTCATCCCCTCTAACACACTCACATAGTCGGATGCATGCTATGTAACTGGGTTTCCATCATATTAATTAGCAGCAATTGAGAAGGTACGAGAAAATGGAATCCTGGAGGAGCCTTTGTGCTGGTATCGTTGCAGAAATGGAAAATCTGGTGTCTGAGAGTAACCTGGAGTTGATGCAGAAGCAGGTTTGGTGGTAGGGGACAGGCTAGACCAGGTTCCTGCTAGGTGCCCAGGCTCACTGTAGCCCTGTGTCACAGGCAGAAGCACCAAGAGACAGCTAAACCAGGTTGGATGGCTCAAACCAGATCCTCCCACAGCATCACTCACAGCTCCTTCCTCCATTTCGCTCTTCACTTACACTTCAGTCTTCTTCCAAAACCCCTCCCTCTGCATCTCTTGACTGCCCGCCATAGGTTGGAGCTGCCTCCAGGCCATGGCAGCGCTAGAAGGAGCAGAGTGCCTCAGCACTGCACCCACAATGTGTAATGCTTTAATGTGATGGAAAGGACAGCAATAGTAGCAGGGTGGCATAACCTTAGGCTACAGCAAATGAGAACAAGCCCAAAGGCAGCAGCCACAGATACAGAAACAATGGCAACATGGATGCTTACCTTTGGAATTCCTCTGGGAGGCAGGGATCTCCAGTGAGATCCCCTCACCTTCCCTGCCAACCCTTAAATGAGGTCTGGGAATGGGGTGGATCCTGGCTCCACCCCTTCTGATCACTCAGGTGCACTGCATGGACCTGAGCTCCCCCAGCTTGGCCCTGCCTTCCCATCAGGTGCTCAATCACCGTTTCAGGCTATGACAGCATTGCCACTGCACCATGCAATTTAAGTGACCTTTTGGTTTCCAAGACTACAAAAATGACTGTCTGTGTTCTGCCCCTCACAGTATGGCCCTGCTGGCACCCATTCTGGCACCCATTTCACACATGCCCAAACCCAGAGGCAGATGCCCCCTAACCCTTGGGGTTGTGTCACCTGGCCACATGCAGAGACCAGCCCAAGGGAACCATGGAAGTGCATACCACCAAACTGGTCAGACTGGGAGCTTCCTGAAGAGTCATGGCCACGCACTGGGGTGATGGGAGATGAGAAGGGGGCTGGCCCACCACAGATAGCAGCTTGATTAGCTAGTTCTCTGTTAAAAAGCATCCCTGTTAAATTAGGCATGCCTAGGAGGTGTGACACTGAGATATTGCACCACTGGCAGCAACATGTTGCCCTCCTGACCTGCTGGCTGCTGCACACCTCTGTAAATTGAGAGCAAGGGGAAGCACTGAGTGATTTATGTTTACTATTTATATGATGCTCACAGTTAGTCATGGCAGTGCAGGTGAGTGTAAAGCCAAGGATACCACATGGTGCTTAGGAACTGACAGCCATGTTGACAGCAAGCACTGGGAGCATGATTTAGGACTTTGTGACAAAGTGACAGCCCTAACTCCAACAGCAGGGCTGACCACCAGGAGACATGTGGGGAAGCTTCTGTCCCACCCTGGGTTCTGGCTGGGGCTACAAGGTGGCACCTTGCAGAGATCCCCCAGTGTCACACTGGGATCACATCTGAAGCAGCAGAGCAGGCACAGGCTGAACAGGACCACCACTCAGAAGTAACCAGAGAGGTTACAAGCAGTGCTCCGGGGCAGTGTTAGCATTTATTTTGCAACCAGAATGGACAGGGAAGTGGAAATCTGGTACACTCTGAACCCCATGGGTGGGAGTGCACAGAGGATAAGCTTGTCCTTGCACCCCTGCAAGTGGAAGGGCTGCTCTGGTGCCACACAGCGCAAACATGGGATAGCCTCCGGCCACACCAGCTTGTGCAGAGTGGTGGCTGGGCTCCTGAAGATATGTAAAATATTTGCAAAATGTTTCCCTGTGACAGTAAATTAAAAGGCAGCTCAATACCATGGGATGGGTTTCTCCAGCTGCAGCACCAGGTGTCTTATCTCAGATTACAATCACATTAAGAAGGCCATGGGTTGGCTGATTGAAAAACGGGGGCTCCCATCATTATGTCTGCCTGAATTGAAGAACAGATCCTCCACTGGGAATATTATGTCCCCGTAGCTGTTCAGGTCTTCTTAGGAAGGGAACAGGATCTGCTTAGAGCAAATAGAAGCCATTACAATCAGGATAAATTAGTAATGGTGAGTGGGAGAGAGAGGAGGAGAGAAGAGGTTATTGTGTTTTTTCTTCCTACAGAGTGGGTGTCTGAACTACTTACACTGCCAGAAAGCAGCTCCTAAGCTTCCCCTCTGAGCCCAGCACTTGAGCTTGCAGCTCAAGAGCTGCTTTGGATTGTTTGCAAGCCAGGAGGATGGCATTGTAGGCTGCTAGATGCATGAAATCTGTTTTCTGCTCCTATCAGTAGCGTCTCATGTTTATAGTCTATTGCAGCACAGGCAGTTTTGCAGAGCAAGAAAAAACAAAATATATTTCCGTTCACTTTGTTCTATGCCTCTAAACACAAGCCTTTATCAGAAGCTGTAGTTCTTGCTGTAGGCTAATTGTGGGGGCCTTCATGCTGCAGGCAGTGGGACTGGTTGCATGGTACTATATATTTGGTGCTTCATGTAACACAGAGCACCAAGTAATTTCTAATCCTTAATGCAGCCCTGGAAAAAAACCTGGAAGCTAAGCAGCAGAACTGCTGTCATCCTCAGGTCTTCCTCCTTTCCTCCTAGGACAATCCAACAAAGCAGGGATGGTTTAGCAGACTTAGGTGCACAGCCCAAAGACAAGTATAATGAGATTTTATAGAATTTTAAATGCAACCATCTTTCTGCTTAAGCAAGCACCTGCTTAAGTGCCTTACAAGGAAATGAATGTGCCGCCACCAGCAGGCTGTTCACAGCAGGACTGTAACCCAGAACACACCAGCGCCAACCTGGTGTGACCACCAAACCTTGCAGGTTGGGCCTTTGCTCCCACCGGTGTTTATCCAAAGCCGTTAACAGTGACTTCTCTCCACAGCCCTCCTGGAGGCTGGTGCTCAGTTTTGTGCTGCTCTGAGCTGATCCAGCACCCTCCAAACACTGGCACATTCAGAAGGATGGGAGAAGCTGATAAGCACTCCAAAAGTGGGAACAGGTTCCCTTAAGCCACCCACTTTTGCTTCAACCTCATCACACATGAGCCCTCTCCTGCTCACACAGCAGATCAAGAGTTGGCTCTGCAATACCAAACCACACTCAGAGTGCCCTCGTGGCCCCAGGGACTTCAGCCAGCCCCTCGCTGATGCCCTGTTCCTCACGGCAAAGCTGCAGGTACAAAATGCCTCTACATAGAGCACACTCCCTAGGGAGAAGTGGCTGATCCTCCAGGATGATCCCATGGGAAGGGATCTCTATTCTGGGAGATTTCTACGCATCAGTAATATCTTGTGCAGCAGTGCTGCTGAGTGAGCAGCTCCAGTAACACATACCTTATGGCATCTTTGCAATCCCAGTGTCTTCTGATAACCTCTGTGGCAACACAGCGAGGGGCTCCTCCCAGGCATCTGTTGGAACACCAAGAGCACACAGCCATGACACCTGACGGGTGGAAAACAGGCAGCTGAACAAAAAAAAATATTAGCCTATGGAAGCTATACAAGTACAAAACAGCCAAATAATACAAACTACCCAACCAACTTTGTGCTGAATACACACAGTTTCAGTTATCAGGAATGGAAGTGTGATTCTTTATTCAGGTTTTCTATTTGATACATTTTTGAGTCAATTTGACAAGCCTTCAAAAATACAGTAAATCTCATTTAAATAGATGTTACTACATGGGTTTATTCAGGCAGCACAATTTTCTCCCTGAATCATCACAGTATTTCTTTTTTTTTCCCTGTCTTAGTGAAGAATAGAGCCGAGCAAATATTAGCAATGGATAATTAACTCAACCACTTGTTTTCCATCTCCTCTGAGACATTCATCTGCTGGATGTTGCTCAAGATTCAGCAGTTATTTTTTTCTTTAGTTAGTTTCCCAATTATTTTTGATAGTTTGATACCTGTGATATGAAAGTTTTGAATACATACAGGCCACAGATTATACGTGCATGAGGAGGAAGAAATAATTTCCAGAATCTTGCCTTCTCTTCTCTTCTTGCTTACAAGATTTCAAAGAAAAAGTTACATAGATAAGGTATAAACTCAAAAGGAGCACATTTACTCTCAAATGCAGACCATTCATAGAAAGTAGCTGCCCAGCTCAACTGCAGACAATGATATTTTTCTTTTATTTTAAGCAGATTGTGCCTAAAGGTAGCACCCTGCAACACATCAGCCTGCCCAGCCCCTGGGGTTACCTCTGTACCCAGCAAGGGATCAGTGACCACAGGACTCGGCCCCAGGAGCTGCATCAGCAGGGATCCCTGCTGGAACATGTAGCACTGGTACTTGCCTGCTTGTAGTCTTAGAAATGAATTTTTAAACACACTTACTGCATGCACTGAGTCTTATACTTTCATATATCTTCTTATAGAACTCTGCTTAACCCACTCTACAATGAACTAGTAAATACAGGCAGAAATATTTCAACTTTTTTTTTTTTACCAATTACTATTAAACTCACGTTCTCGTAAGCCTATGGCCCTGAGTTTACATATGTAGCAGGCACAGACAACAAATGTCAGCATCGTAAGCCACATGCAAACAGGCACTGACCTTATATTCACAAGCTCCTCCACTCCCCCGTGTGTCACTGACAACAAAAGTGCCTTAGTTTTGTGTTTTTTTTCCCCCAGATAAAGTGCTTTCTGCATAGTAAGTGACACAGATAAGACAGGGCAAATTTTACTGCCTCCAATACAACTGTGTTGCAAATGCATATGTGGTTTGGCAGTGTAATCTTTTACTCTGATAAACCATTAAATGCCAAAGAAAGCTCCTTAAGTTAATCAGGGCTTAATTTAAATAAACAAGCTACTGAAAGATTAACAAAAATCCTCAAAGAAGTCTGAATACAGAAACAACCTGTTCACAAAATCCTGGGCCAAGTCCATAGCAGCCACCACTCCGGCATGAAGCTGGGCCACTGACACCCTTTATCCCCTTTATTGGCACCACTGGTGAAAAAGACAATAATTTTCTGAAAGACCAAACAAACACTTCCAGCTCTAGTTGTGTAACAGCAGTGCTTGTCCCAACTGCTGCACATGAGGAGCAGCAGGAGGGATGGCTCTGTGCTCACATGGAAAGCAGTCAGGCAAACCTTCTGGAGGAAGAGCTGGGCCTGCCTGGCTGGAGGCTCCTGCAGCACCATCCACATCTGCAGGTACAGCAGAAATCCCCCTGGGAGGAACACGGATAAGGAAACATTTGGGGTGAGAGCAGCAGTCCTGCAGGTAACTCACAGCAGCCACCAACAAGCAGGCCTCTTTGTGGAAGTTCTCTTGTATGTATGCATAAATACTTACATGCTGCTGTTTTATCCCATGGAGGTACTGAAGTGACACCAGGCTAGAACCCATGTAAAGTCTCTTTGGGTTAACATGCTATATAGACCAAGTCCTTCATTAGGTTAGTCATTAATTAATTCTGCTGCCCTATGGACTTTCTCTTAGTGCTTTCAGTACCATAACTGGTACATTTTCAAGTATTATCTTTCTCCAATTGCAAAACCACAATCTTTGTTGTTTGCCCTGACAGCTGTTGATTATCTCCCAGATGTCTTCATTTCATGAAAAACTCTGGTTATTTTAACCATAAAAGTTTTCTTTCATTTATTTAGAACCATTTTGCTCAGCTGAATATTAGTGCTGTTTGAGTTAAAAAATACAATCAACACATTAAAGAATATCAAAATATTCACAGAACCAAAATCTAAAATGGGACAACTACGAACATATATATACATATTTCTCCACAACATTTCACTTACCCTTGGGCAAAAAAGGGTCATTCTGGCACGATAAAATATAACACCTCTTTTGCTTGCAATGTCATTACTCAGACCATGCTAAAGACAGGCACAAGGAGACCAGCTGATGACTAAAGAAAAACATTCTATTTAATCACAATATGTACATCCAAGGTACAAATCACAGAGCTACATTTCAAAATGCATTCATAACATCACTCTACCACTGTTAGAGTGTGCCAGACACAAAACTCTTGCAATTACTGACAAGAAGGTTGCTCTAGCTCTGGACAACTATCTGACAGGCATCAGGTGAGAGGCAGACAAGAAGGGGAGCAGGATATATGGAGGCAGGTGGTTACCCTAGTCCTCAGCTCTGCAGCTCCCCTTGGCATTTGTTCACTCCCTGCTTACCTCTCCCAGGATCTCCTGGGTTCCACTGCAGTTCTGACCATTTTTCCTGACCCATTATGCCAGGCTAACGCAAGACTGCTCCCTACATCATTATTTTATATTGAAATGTTTTGCACACAAGGCATTTCAAAGATGCTATTAGGTCCATTAGCAATGTAATGTTATTTTACAGTTAGGCAAGCACTTCAATTCATATTGCACTGGAACTGTTTTAATAGAGTAACTTGCCTGAGGTCACTGACGAAGCCAGTGGGAAAGCTAGGAAAGCAGCTCTTGATTGCAAAATCTTACTAGCTGCAGGACCATCTCTTTGCTCTTTTGTATTAAAGCAGAAAGGATTTAACATACTGAATTCCTGGTTGTTATCCTCCTTGGATTGCTTCATTTTCTGTTTTAAACAGTCCTCTCTTTCTTTAGATTCACTCTGGATCTCAATTTCTTTCATGGTACAGATGTGTTGCCACCAGTGACAAATGCAAAGCTCTCATTTTCAGCCTGTGCTGCCTGGTGACTTGGAACAATTCTACATAAAGTACAAAGTGTACCACCTGCAGGTAAATATGCATGATACCATAGCGAAGCTTCAGTACAACTACATCTCTGCATGGGTTAAAAAAAACACCACAGTACAAGCAAGAGTAAAAAAATAAATAAATATCTGGATTTCCTCTTTCCTGCTGATGTTACCAGTGCTTAATGGATTCAAACACACTCATTAAATAAAAAGGTAACATTTCTTCTTGTTCAAAATCAAGCATAGCATCAGTTTGGCACTTTCCAGGTCTTCCATCAGGGAACAAATTGTTAACATTTAACATCTCCAAAGTGCTGCCCATGAACTGCCTTACTAACCTTATGATTGCCAGCCCCATGGTCTCTATCACCTCGGGGTGGGAAGTTTCCTATATCTAACAAACACGTTCAGCCTTGCCCTAGAACACACAGTAGGTTATTTCAGTTTTTTCCTCCCTGCCAACGAGCGTAGTGGCAGCAACCCCTCAATCCACTCATTGGTGGCAGACATCATCTCCTGCCAAAAGGCCACCTCCTCTTGTGTTGAGTCCATCCAGTCCACGGGGATGCCGTAGCTCAAACCTGAAGAGAAGCGAGGAGATGGTAACGTTGGGAGCTGCATAAGGAGCTTCCACTCCATACAAAAAAGTACTCACTGAGATACAACTGCTGCAGGTAGGGCCTTAACCTAAAAGGTGCTGAGTTCCTGTCAGGAAGTTGCACTGTAATCACCTCCCGTTCTTCTGCTTATGATCTCCATTTTACACCAGAATTCAGTATAAAAGCCACAAAACACAAGAATCCTAAAAATAACCTAGCAAGGAAAACAAGGTTGGGCTCAAGTCCAGTACTGCTTTTTTTGATGTGGTAAAGAAGGTCTACAAGGTTTGGTATTCCTCCTGATTTGTTGTGAAGAGGGACAGGTATTTGTTAAAATTCTTTTGCTCTACACTTTATTTGTACAGGAATCAAATATATGATAGTGTAGAAGTGTGCATATTAATTCCAAACTGATTTTCCAACCACATTTTCACGTGCCGACTACTTGTCGAATAGATGAAAGTCTAAACTTGGATCACAACTAATCCTGGGTTTTATATTTTTATGTGAACTTCCCACTGGTTAGTTCACAACTCTCTTGGTGACATGTTAGAGATTGAAAACAGAGATCACACAGTCAAATCCAATAAATGTGTACCTGTATCCAATAAATGAGTACCTGCAAGGCAGATCTTCAAGCTACAATAAGGCTCTTCCTGAGTCCCTCAAGGAACAGTCACCTTTTATTACATCCCCCACTCTGAAATCTTCTGCTTGTCTTTCATCTTTCAGAGACCCCTATTGCTTAACAGTAAGTACAGCTAGCTTACAAATCCTTACATCTCCTACCTAACAACTACAAACACTCTACTTGTCAAAGCTAGGCATGGGGTGCACTGAAAGTTAGGATAGCATGGTTAGCAAATGGCACCTCTGCTGTGCTCTTTGAGCACTTCATAATCTAAACTAAGAGAAGTAATTTAAAAAATAAGAACACCTTAATCTACACCTAAACAACTCAATTTCCAAACTGCTGATGTTGTCTCAGTAATGACTGAGATAGAACAACTACTGCATCAAGCTCTGTTTTCCAAATATTAGTTATTCCTGCTACTGTAGTATTTCAATGAAGGAGATGAGGACAGAGTCACCAGGTGGTGCTGTCCCACATGGCTTTCAAGTTCTTTGTCTTCAGCTCTGAGCACTTTGCACTGGGAGGAACACCAAAATGACTCTGATTTACAATGCTGCCTCTTTTCCTGCAGCAGCAGGAAAATTCTCTGCTGGACCCACGCTGATTCTTGAGTTTTGTCAGACCTGCGAGTTGACATGGCAGAGAATGGGGGAACAGAGGGTTACTATCACAATACCAGGGCCCCTTCCATCTCAGACACAGTGCAAGTATGAAGCCCCTTAATAGCTAGGCACTCTCCATATCTGGTTTCTCCCTAACAGCAAAATGCTCAGCAACTTTCCATTATACCACTTGGCTCAGCAGCAGTATAATGGTATTCATTTAACGTAAAGGAAATCACTCACCTGTCCCAAGGCCCAGCCTGATTCCTCCAAGGAAATGGTTGGTTAGTTTTTCATGATCCCACACAGTCAGTTCAACACAAGCATCCTTCAAGTCCTCTGTATGAAAGCCATCATACACAATAGTGTGATTGAAAACAGGGTTTGTGTCTCTTTTTACGACTCGGGTCTTTTGGTAGCTCTTCTTACTCGTGTCTGGAAGCACATAGCTTTGAGAGGAAAAAAAATACAGCAAGTAGTGTAAAATATCACATGAGGTTTCATTAATGTCTACAAACTTTCTGGGCCTAAACAGGCCTCAGATCTGAAGTAAGGAGTAATTGGGTCTCAACATAAGAAATCCCTGTAAATTTAATGGGGAATCTTTACAATCCTTGGAGTAAACTTTCTTTTCCCAAGAAAATCAATTTTGTAAGCAAAGATTCTTAGAAAGGAAGGATGCTTAACAGATCCTGCCTTAGGAAAAGGGTTTCTTTTTTCTTCTTCTTCTTCTTCTTTTTTTTTTCCAAAGTGATATTTTACACTAAAAAATGTGTTCTAATTCCATCATTTGGATGCCCAAGAGGATATTTTATAATGGACACTTACCATTTCACAAAGGAGTCAACTCCAGAAGGACGCAACTGTAGAAGGTCCTTAACATCTTTGACCCAAATGTGAACTTCACCAGAGGGAGGATTCTTGGGACCTGCCATGAAGTACAACAGAAAGCTCTCATGACAGACCCAGCAATAGCTAGCAAGGCAATGAGCTTCCTCTCCGGGACCGAGGGAGCAGTGATACGACCTCTCTGCACACCACTCCCCTGGAGCTGTGCTCTGTTGGGCAGCACAGTGCCATGATCACGGTTGCAGGAGGCTCCTGACACAACCTGCCAGTGATGCATTGATGCAGGAAAGGAGAAGGAACTAATGGGGAAACCCAACCTTCTGCCTGTCCCAAAGTAAGAGGAGCTGTGTGCTGCTGCTACAGCATCACAACACCCCACCGTGCCCATGACAGCTGGCGAGTTTTAGCTTGTTGAGCTCTTCCTCTCTGTACAATTTCCCAGTAAATCCAATATGTGAAAAACAGACGTAATCTGCAGATGGTGCTGTCAAGCACTGTGGTTGTCCCTTTGTGCTGATCTCTACAATCTTGCTCTAATGAGATTACTCCTTAACTAGCCCACAAAACGATGAAGCATTACAAGCTACATACCAATATACAGGCAATACTTCTTAATTTATGAAATACATCTTACCTAGGCTTCCTGGAGGGACATACTTAATAGACAAATTCATCACTCCTCGATGATCCACGCCATTAACAGCAGAAAGACTCTGAAATAGAAAGAGATAAACAAGGGCTTGTGTTGAGATAGCATGGCAAACAGCTTTTGATTCAAATACAGGGAGACAAATAGACCAGCTCTGCTTCTTATAGCTGGCACAGTCTATTCTCAGGGCTACTTTGTGACTTTGCTCTCAAACTCAGTCTCTTGGAACACAGCACTTCCGGATTCAGAGCAGGGTTGCCCTTCCAGAAATGTCCGGTTGGACAAAATCACCTTTTTGCTGAAAGCCTTTATTTTATGAAAAGGGATCTTAGGTCAGACCTCTGAACACAGGAGCAGGCAGGAAGCTGTACCAGTTTTACAAAAGGTGGCACCTGAGTATTTACCTGTCAAGGCATGTCTAACTGCATCACCTGGTACGCTGCTGTCTGTTTTTTAAGGGATGGTCTTTTATGTGACAAGACAGAGAGGCAGCCATGTCAGAGTTTCTGCTGATTAGTGTCAGATCACATTTATGAAAGTGTCACCAAGTAAGACCCAAGAAGGCCTGCGTTCAGAGCACTAAATACTGTGCTAACAAGTATAGGGCTTGTGGGTGTTTCCAGTGCTTCCCTAGGCAAGAGCTAGGCTTCTAAACACCAGCCAAAGATCTCTGAGTCTTCCCTTCCCTCTGGCTAGGGCATACAAGTCCCAGCTGCAGGGACCACTGGCTTCCAGCCAGATGCCCACTTACACCAAAGACGTGGCAGATGGGGCTCAGCAGGAAAAGCCCTGAGTTAACAGTGCATGGCTCAAGCAGCCAAGAAGGATTTCTGCCACTCCTAAAGGCTTTGGGGTTGGGCTGGAAAGCAGAACTGCAGCTGAGATGCACTTACCCGGGGCTTCAGTGGATACCAGTTGAGTTTTCGGTTGCTCCAGTCCCAGCTGGCCAAGTCTAATTCAATCTCTCCCAAGAAACTATTACGTCCCAATGGGTCATTGTGCCAAACAGAGAGATTCAATTTTTGGATCAGCAATACCATTTTCTCTATTTTATACTAGAAGAAGAAAGAGAAATCAGGTTGCTCTTTTTTTTTTTTCTTCAGTTTTTCTCACAACTGGAAATATACTACTCAAAAACTTGAATTACTCTAAGACACTTAAACCTACTCCACACATGCTCTAAAGAACTGGCCCCATTCTGAACATCTCTTTTTGTGCTGCAGCCTGACAGTCAGCCACCATGAGCCTGACAATGCTTGTCTGCTGAGCACAGGGAAATTCAGTGCTTCATTCTTCATCAACAAATAATATTTTTTCAAGAATTATTAACACAGGCTTGGGCATTGTTAAATAATTCTCCATGCTTTGGTAAGCAGGATCACAGGATAAGGACCTTTCTTAATAGTGCCATGTCTTGTAACTGCAAGCCAGAGAAGGTAAGAATACCTCATTGTTGTGACAGCAGCACAGGCTCACAGGTCTCTTCTTCCAAAGGTCACTGTATAGTTTTGTCACAGAAATCTTGTGTGCCACCCAAGTGAGTACAGAAGAACTTTCAACATCTCTGCCCTCATGAAACCAACGGAAGAGCAGCGCAGCAGGAGACAGGAGAAGGAGCCCAGCAGATAGGCTCCTTCCAGACCTCACGAGGGATAGGTGCCTGCTACAACACAGGTTTTCAGAGCATGTATGTGTTCTTACCCTTAGCACTTCATTGTAAACAGGATTCACAGTCCTTTTCTTCACTGAGGTTTTCCTCTTACCCATTCTCGCTTTGTCTGGGAGCAGGTAAGTTTTAACATACCTGGAAAACAAAACCAAAAACAACAGCTGAATACTATTCAATATTGCCAAGCAAGCAAGACTTCTGGATGGTAAAATGGACTTCATTTAAGCAAGTTGACTCTGTAAGGGCAGAACTAATTGAGAAACCTGCTGGGATATTAACTTGTCTTGCACATGAAGTTATAAATCTCACTAGGGATGGATGGATGCCACCAACCTTCAGAACAGAACAAGCAGTTCTCTAAGCAGTGTGGAAAGCCAGCAAGGACATCTATCAATTTTCTGAAGTACCCGTAACTATAGCAAATCTGTGCATTCAAAATCTGGGTGTAATTAGAAGTGGTGGAATGTCTCAAGAAGCCTGATTATAAATCCCTCCTTTTCAAAATTCATATCCAAGGTTATTTTTATCGTCTTTTAAAACAGATTACCATACAATTACCATTGTGCCACACAACGGTGCTTCTTCTCAGACTTTCTTTCCACATAAACATGTGTCTACATCACCAGAGTTACTACTAACGTGTATTCACCATGGGGAGACCAAGTTTCACATGGTTACATAGAGAATATATTTCAATAATAAAAGGAAGTGCTCCTGTAGTGAGCAAGGTTTTCTCAATCTTATTCAGATATGTGTCTGTGGCAACATATTTACTGATGTCCGTGGCTCTGAATACATCAAGAAGGTTAGTGGTTACTGCTAGGAAACAGCCAGCAGTCCAGAAGTCGAGAGGTAGGAAGAAAAGATGGGATTTTATGAGAAAATTCGTAAGAAAAAATGAAAGTTCCTCAGAACACAAAGTTTAGCAGCAGAGAAGTCATGAGGAATCAAAGTGAAACATCACTCACGGGTCAGTCCTGTCTTTCTTCTCATCCACAACAGCCAGGTCCTTGCACTGGGACACATGAACCTGGAACTCACGGTTCTTCTCATCATAGTCTAGTGCAAATTCCACAGTACCCTGGGCATCCACACTCCCAAAATCGCCGCTGTACACACTGAGCACACTGCCACTCACCTGCCAGGTGGAAGAAAAAGCTCACGCCACTGAAATAAGCACTTTGCTTAATCTGTTTTCTGGACCAACATGTGCATTCCTGGAGAAATGATCTCTCCCTCTGTCTTCAAGTATTACGGCATCCTTGATGCAGAAATGGTGAACATCTGCAGCTTGCACAAGCAAGGGTTTGAGGACACAAATAAAGGTCTCACAAAGATGCAACACCCTATAACAGGACTAAGAAGCACTGATTTCCCAAGTGCCCAAAGCTTTGGGAAACAGTTAAATATCACTAGTAAGAGCACACAAGTCTTATCCCTTTCCTGGTGCTACCTATACTAAGGGCTGCTATTCTGAACCAGGCTCATCACTAAGAAATATATTGAGAGAACTTTAACTATCTTCATATACACTTATTATTTATGGTGGAGATAGTCACCCTATTGTCATTCAGTTTTAAAAACAGGCTACTAAGAACGATATCAGATTAGAAATATAGAGAAAAAATGACCATTACTGTCTTGTTGCTTGCTGACAAAGTGCAGAGAGCTGTAGAGAACAGAAACAAATATATCCTGTCCTGAAGAGGCACTGTCCCACTTTATGGGAAAACACCTGTCACAAGTGCAGAGGAAAATGAGTTTTCTTCAGGTATCAACCAGGAACGAGGCACTCAAGAGCCACTTGCTTTCCCAGAACAAACTGGATTTGCCCAAAGGCCTTGAGCTTCTCTTCCCAAGGCTTCAAATCTTTCTCGAATAGAAAGTCAAGAAAAGGAAATAAAATATAGCTCCAAAAAGATGAGAATTTTCTATTGCACCAATCACTTACGATTATTGATGGGATACCATAAAAGCTAATGCAGTTTACAAAGCAAATAATTAAACTTCTTGGGACACTTCTGTGGTACAATCATGAATATTTATCAAAAAACTTTCCTAGTAATTAACCCAATTCTTTTCTTTCTCCCCCCCGTTCCTTTTCTTTCTGAATTAAATGCTATGGTAACCTATAAGAATCTGCTAAATATCTTCTCTCAATCTGAGGAGATACATTTCTCATCTCATCAGGATATTCAACCCAACAGAGAATTCTAAATTAGATTTTCAAAAGCATTTATGTCACTTGTCAAAAAAGGCTCATTTATAGCTCCCAGATTCTCCAGACTAAAAGGACTAATGCACCCCCAAGCTAAAGCTTTTTAAATAACATATTTACCGACATTCCTGACCTCTCCCTACAAGCTTTTCTTCACATATATTCTTTAAATCTCACATATACATTTTGGAACTACCTATACTAGTAATACAGCAAATTAAAGCACTTTTAAACACCCCCCCACAGAACACTGTCTCTAAGGAATCCTTTTAAATTGCCTAAAAAACGCACTCAGCTTTCGTCAGCTTTCCTTAGAAGCTGAACTTCTGAATCATCCTGTTGCTATCAAATTCTGAGCTCTCTTTAATTTGTTGATTAAGTGAAGGAGAAGCTTGCAGAGGGCACCAGTCTGCAGTCCCAGCCCTCTCAGAGCCACTCAATAGCTGTGTGTAATTCCCCCACCTAGAGAAAGGCCACTCCTCTCTGCCAGGCTGCAGCACACTTTGCTCCACACTTTGGAGCAGAGGCTGCCTCTTACTCTGAATTTGTCTAACAAGGACCTAACGAGGATTTCTAATTTGAGATAGTACCTGAAGGCACTTCTTTAAGGCAGGTAATTAGCCATCACTGTTCTTTTAAATCAAGTACCACGCAGAAACCAACGTGATACTCGAGGCCACGTCATCCGCATCAGCCTAAATGCAGCATCACTGCATCCAACTGAGAAATGCTTTCTAGCAAAACATACACATTAAATACCTACCGAGGAGACAGATGCCATGTCGGAGGAGTGGCTGCCAATGCTAGGAGTCTTTTTGTGCTTGCTAAACTGGAAGCTGATTTCCGAAGCCGTGTCTGATTCTGTCTGCTCAGAAAATAACAAGCATCTTTATGCTCTGCAGTATAAGCACTTCCAACACTACAGAGGAAAACCAATAGCTCAGCAGAGTCCCATTAAGCAGAAAGCAGGTTAGGAGAGCGGAGGGGAGTGCAGGGAATCTCCCCAGAGGCACTGCCTCTGACCGGCAGCAAACGTCATCATTAACTGCCTCCAAACCACCTGGGCTCTTGGGAAGGGCACGTAACATTGTGATTTGAGACAGAGGGAAAGACCAAAACTCCTACAGGACCAAAAGGTTGGTGTGGATTACTAGGGACCCTTTTCTTACAGCTTTTAGAATTTTTATCTTTTTTTTAAAATGACATAAGCAAAGCATTCTTTAGGGCAAGTACTGCCAGTGTCCCAGAAAAAGATTCTCATGGACCTGACTGCTGTTTAAGGGATGCTAGGGAAATTATTTCAGTCATTTCTGGTATCTATCCTACCTCAGACAACAGGAGAGGAGAGGATCTGCTCAGTTCTTTGACTCTTTCAGGTTCAAGAAATTGATGGGGTATCAAAAGAGGTTTACTGTACGCTGTAAGTACAAACAGAAAAGAGGCATCAAGATAAACTGTCGGAGTCAGGAAGATGTAAGAAAGACACTTGTTTGTTTGTTTGTTTAAAGGCACAAGGCGGGAGGAAAAGCTTGTGGGAGGCATTTCCTCCAGCTCTGCCACCAGTCACTGAAGGTGATCCCCAGGACACAGGCTGCTGGCTAGCTAATGCTGTGAAAGCTACTCTCAGCGTGCTTTCTTTCCTGAGAAGGAATGTCCAAACTCCCTCTAGTGGCTAATTCAATTTATCCACTGCCCGAAGCACGTGTAACTTCTTTGCTCTACATCCTCTAGCTATGTAGATTTAATTTAGAACAAAAGCATGCAGATCCACCCCCCATCAAAGAAACCTCACATTTCCATCTCATAGCATGTGTAAACAATATTTCCCTGTCCAAACGATCTGTAAAATACTTAGACCTATAATTTCACTGTTGCAACCACCTCTCAAACATACTGCTAGACTGACAAAGAGGTGGAAATAGTCTGTTATATAAAAAAAAAAAAAAAGCAGCTTCAAAACAGGACCAACTTCCACAACAACCTAAGAAGATGGCCACTGAACTGCTTAAATGTTTAAATAAGGCCTATCTGCTCCATACTTATCTTTTCTCAGTAACTTCCTCGATGACTGATATTCCAAAATGGCTTGTTTTCAGATGACATATGCACATATACATCGGTGCTGAGCGTTAGCTGTGATGATACACTACTCAATGCTCAGAATGCCAAAAGGCTGTTTGATATCTCCAACAGCCAGTAAAGTGTTAAATACCCTTTTCTGCAGGCTATTTGTTATACTGTAAACAAGTGCAACTCGGTAGAAGGTCTCCTAGGATGAGGTTTGTGGCTCTAAATAAGCTGCAATGGGGAAAGGCTAAAATCTTTGTCATCTGCATGAAGGCTACATCACTGAATGGCAATGCACGTGGGACTTGAAGCTTTGAGCCATCGTGTTTTATGACTTGCATTGCTGCTTCAAATGACAGGGCATACATTTGCACAAGGACAGCGTGGGTCAGTTGCATGCAGACAGGTCAATGCAGCATGCCCCATTCACCAGCTGCCTGGGACAGCCCAAAGGGGACTCTCCTCCATCCCATAACCAGGGATCAGGTTGACTTAAACTTGGCCTTATTGTTTCCTCTAAGCTGCTTTACTTTACTCTGGGCAACCCCCAACCTCCCCAGCTCAGTCCCAGCATACTTGGCCATACCCCTTCGCTTTTAGACACGCTCATGGCTGCCTTCTTGAGATTGCCACCTTTCCTCTTTTGGGGACATGTACTGGTTTTCCTGGCCACAGAGGCTGCTGCTGCCTTCCTTCAGGCCCTCTCCCTTGACTTATGCTTTCTTGGGCTACTTGGTGGCACAGACAGGTTTCTTGGCCATGGGCTTCTTCAGCTCTTGCTGCTGCTTTCTTGGTTGCCTTCTCTTCAGTTTCTCTTGGTTTCCCCAAGAGGAACTGCCAACATGAAGCGTGTCCCAGCTGGTAGCTGAGGAAATCAGGCTAGCAACCTGGGGCTGCTCGGGGAAAGGCCCAGATATAGGCCCAAGCAAGCATGTGACAGCAGCCTGTGGCACAGCTCGCATGCTGGATGCAAGGTCTGCTACGTCTGATTGATCCACTGAGCAGGCTGCCATATAGGTCCCATGGTACTCAGTGGTGGAAGAGGAGATGAGGTTCTTGCCAACCGTCTGAAGCTTGTTTGCATTTTGCTGCGCACACTGAGTGACATATCATCAATCCAGCTGTAATTTCCTGGCCTTGAATTTAATTTTAGGTACTATAAGCTCTCTAATTTGATGATGAAACAATATGTCATTTTCCTTGCTTTCCTTCCTTCTGTTCTAGCACAGAAGCACCAGGGATGCAAAATTCATACATAATACATTGCCTTCAAGAAACTTAAACTAAAATGCAGAAAGAAAAGCATTACTCACTCTCTGTGGTTGTGTAAATGTTCACCATGCTCTTTGCAAGATTAATGCTGTTTGCTTGGGCCAAGGTTTGAGCAGCAGGAGAATGATCTCCATCTTCCTCTGGAATATATGAAAAGTCAAGTTGACATAGTGAGTAAACAAACACAAATGGGCAGAATGTCAGCAAGCATGAATGTCTCTCTCCCAGCTACTCCTTCTGCTTAGAGCATGCTGCAGTTGTACAGTTACACAAAGTTGCTTTCAAATCATCGGCTGCAACACCTCTCCCTGAGAAAAGCTCTTTGCACTATGATGAGAAATGTAAACACTGGAGTAACCCAGACCCCAAAAAAGATTGACACTTAGAAAGAACTTCCAGTGGAATACAGCCATCTGCTAATAGCAATCTGCAACAACTGCAATAATAATGGAAAAAATACCCTGAGCGATACAAGAATGACTGGTATATAAAAGAAATGCTCACGTTTACCTGAAACGCAACTCAAGATTTTAATGGAAATGTTATGAAAGGTAGGAAATAAGCCAAGAAATGACTAAGTCAAAATCAAATCAGCTAAATGTATGGAAAATCCTCTCAAATGGGTCTCAATCAGGTACAAGAGGATCAAAGATGCAGAAAAAGGAGACACGGAACTCTCTTTTCCTAGGTCTTTGCTTGGCAGGGAATGGAGCTGTGGGCAATCAGAGCTCACATTTTGTTTTAACATGAACTTTTGCCCATATTATCAGTCCTTACAAGAGCCTGTCAAACCCAGAGGAAAAGGCTGATAAAGTGGTAGTACTCCACTGTGTAGACTCACTCCAAAGTCCTCTCCAAAGTAGACTCCACTGTGATGGAGAATGTGGTATCAGAACCCACAAAGCTCAGACTCCTTGTCCAGTCCATTCTGTTCGCAGCTTACTGGTGGATTCCCAAAAGGCCCAAAGTGTCATTCAAATCCTGACTGCCAGTAGCCATATCGAAGTAGGGCAAAGGTCAATGTATTTATTAAATACTTTGCTTCAAGTTTTATTTCTGCTATTTGCATCAGACCTATCTTTACCAGCACAAGGAATTCTGGCAGATCTACATTTGAAAAAAGTGTAGTGCTCTCAGTTAGTAAAGTAAGTTCCTGCAACCTGCTGTAGTCAGGGCTAAAGAACTGGAGATCTGTCCCTAGCTGAGGTGCTTGAAGGCAAAGTATGAGAATAGGCAGTGGTGAGAAAGGCAAAGGGACATCACATTGCCCAAGTTTACATCTCACTGCACTACAAAGAACAGTTGTTTCCATAGCTGCTGGTTAAACACATTGCACACATGCTAACCCTGTACCAATTTTAATACAGTATAGATGTAGAAGCAAAGAAAACATGCAAAATTGGAAGCATTAGGGAAGAAAACAGGCTTAGAGGTGACACTCAATGGGGTTCCCCAGGGTGCAGTTACAGCCCTCAGTACCTGAGTGAACAGACAAGTCCATCTTCCGAACAGCTTCTCTCCCTCCAGCCAGCACACTGCCTGTTGGCTGTTCTGAAGACTGGCTTGTATTTTCCTCAGGTAGCTCTCCATTTATTCCCATGTTGTCATGAGAGCCCACATCAGGTCTTTGTGCTTTCTCATCATTTTTGTCACCACCTGCAGGCGCAGGCTCAATCAGTGTCTGCACCCTGCTTGCCAAAGAGCTCTCTGTGCGCTTGCGCTCCTCTGCCACAATCAACTTCTCTGTAGGCATCTCTGGCTCAAACATGCTGCCAGATACTTCCTTAGTAGGAGACTCGATTTTGATGGAAGGCACTCGCACAGGCAATCTGGATTTCTTGGAGCTGCGCTGTGCTGCCTTCTCTTCCTCTGGCACTGACGGCTTCCCATTGCTTTCGCCCAGCGAATTATTTCTTGTAACCAGGCCTCCTTTGCTCTTGGCATATGTAGACCTCGGAGCAATGGAAATGGATCCCTTCCTCACAGGAGCTACATAGCTTGGTTCCTCCTCACTGGAAGATAAAGTTATTGTCCTTTTGTAAGGGCTTCTTGTTTTAGTGAAGGCTCCAGGCTTTTCTTCACTGTTCTGGCCATGATCTGACTGCACAGAGAGCGAGCGGCACAGCTTGAACTGCCTGCCATCTGCCTCCAGCGAGCCTGGGGACTCTGGCACACTTCCCATCATCACCGAGTCTGCTCCCTTCTCCCAGAAGTTCTTCAAATTCTTGAAGTGCTCACGATCAAGGCCAATGTCCTCCTCTTTATTACTCATTGATGAGATTGTGTAGTTCACGCCTGGCTTCACTGCCTGGCTGCTTTCCCCTTCTGTAGTCAGCAATCTCGGGCTTGCCAGTAACTCTCTCTTTTCAAGGTTGTTCTCTGCTGGCCCGAGGTGATTCACAAACTGCTCTGATCTGGAGAGACTTCTGCTTGGTTTCCTCTTAACAGGTATCTTGCTGGGAGCATAAGCTGCTTCAGGTGCATTTTTTGGTCCTGCTGTGGTGCCAGTGGCCCCATCAGCAGCTTCTCCAGTTGCACAGCTGGGCTGTAGCACAGCATCGTCTGAAAGCTTGGCAGGCGGTGGAGACAGTCCATTACCTACAGCAACAACAAATGCTCAAAACCCATCCCACCACACCATATCCTAACTCCCTGGAAGGTCTGGGCTGAAGGTCCTCAAAGGGAAGCCAGAAGGACTTTCTAGAAACCACCAATATGTTCCCAATTCTTCCCTATTTTAGAGTCCAGCAAGTTCCCTTTCATGTGAAGGAAAAGCCTGAAAAACTCAGCCCTTCTTTCTGCACCAAGGAAGGGAAAAATTTCACTGAGCTCTAAATTGTTGCTGTGAGTTGGGGATTTGTTCACAGCTTCACATTCTGCTTGACAGATTTTATACTGTCTATTTGCTACATTCCAAAATACACTACATATTCAAAGCAGGAGACTAAAGAAATGTAACTTGGATCTATGCTTTAAGGAATTGTTAGCCAAGCACTCAGTTAACCATACTGAGAGCCAGGAGGAGTTTTAGTCACTGAGGATTTTTTTTTCTTGATTCTTTCCGCCTTGTGTATAATTCACATGAATTTTGGCAGCCCATTCTTACAGGCCAAGCTAAGAAAAGCTCTTTGTTATCCATTTGTACACACAAAAAAAGCAACATGTTTCTTGGTGTTTGACTCTAAACAATGAAAATGTCAGTGGTTCACTGAACAAAAACTTTACCTTTTCTAGACAAATGCAAGTTGTCTGTTGCAGCTGCAAACGGACTTGCTCCAGTGTCACTCTCCAAGGAAGAAACATCATGTATACTGAATCTCTGAATGGAAAATAAAGTCTGTCAATGTATATCCATTCACAAGACTGGAAAAAGTGTCATTTATTTGAGCACAGATATAGAGAGGACAGCCTGTGGAGCCCCTGGTCAGTAGATACAGACTGTGTGAAGACCCAAGAAATAACAAAACTGAACACAGAAGATATGGCAGTAGTACCTTGTGTGATGCAGACAGCATGGCAGAAAGTCTCGGCTTTGGTTTTGGCAAGATTTTATGCTCCTCTGCAGTATCAAGAGCAGGTGTGTTGGATCTATAGAGCAGAAAAACATCTGAGCAAGGAGATCAGTGGTAGGGATGCACTGGATAGGGCATCCACTGCATAGGCAGTCTGGCAGCCTTCAACATTGATTCAGTTCTGCTCAGCTGCTTTGTCACTTTTTTTCTACTGACTCTGCCCAATATAAGGCTGCCCAGAACTAGTGCCTTCATTCATTTTCTCCTTTGGAAGGACTGGGGGCCATATTAAATTGTCCCAGCTTGGAGTAAATATGAATCTACCACTGCAGTCAGTAGAGAACTTGATCAACAAAAACAATGGTGACACCTTCTAGGTGTCACCCAGAATTTATTCAGATCTTCCTTTCTGGGAGAAAACTATAGAGAAAAACACAGAATGTGATAGTGCCAAAACAGTCCAAAAGCCACGCAAGAGAGAGATGCCCTTTCAGGCTTGGTCCAGGAAGGAACAGGCCATGCCTATCCACACACCACAGGCCAGGCCACAGGCACACCTGGATTAATTGAGAACTCAGAAACTATAGGAATTATTAAGTCATCAACGATAGGGGATAAAAGCCTTCACACTTGTATCATAAGTTAATTACTAAGTGCTTGGTACATAAATAAAATGAACATATATCATGGGCAGTTTGCCTGATTAGTTCTGCTGTCTTTGGGAGTTTCCAGTGACAGCTGCCCTCCAGATGGAGAAGAGCAGTCAGGTTGGGCCACTGGTGAGATTTCAGATGGGAATGTTTTGCATTTAGGGTTGAATGAGAGAAACAAAGCAACGTTTACAGGACTCCCACAATAAATCATTAGGACCATTGCTATGCTACTAAAGCATGTTGACTGTGTCCTTTATTAAACAACACCCATTGTTCAGCTGTGGGAGGTCTGGAAGTGTTTTCAAGGCTCATATTTAATAATTGCAGCAGTTGCCACCTGTGAAGTATGATTCCTCATTCTGCTGACAGAAGAATGCAAATGAGATGGAAGCAACAATGAATAAAAAAGTGGATATTTTAATGGATTCTCCATAGCTCACAAACATTGAGTGAGGTCACTCATTTGCTTGCTGAAGTTCTTTTATTGTGTATTTGTGCACAGTCAGCACAACATGACATCTACCAAGCCATGATGGTGAGTGCTGAGCACTGAGGGCAGTGGTTGGCACCAGCAGGAAATGAGCGGTTTCCTAAAATAGTTCATTTTGTTAGCATTGCTCCATGGGAAAAATTAAACAAATAAAAATCATAATTACTTTGAAAAACTACCCAGGATAATCTGACATGAGAGACAGCTTCCACTTTACTGACTCCTTATCAAATCATGCAGGAAAAGACCTTTCTGGCATAAGCACATTAGCTCTTAGTAATTAGGGGAGGATTGATACTCTGACAATTCCTGGAAAAAGGGTTTTAAAAGCATTCTATACAGCCTGTTACTAATACAGTCCTGGAAGCTCAGTTAAAGAACAGGATTTAATGGGTGGCATTCAATTTTTGGTAAAAACAAGAACAGTGGCAGATACCTCTCCTCTCCTGTGCCAGCAGCATGCTCGTGGAAGGGAGGACCTGGGGCATCTTTGCTTTCCAGACTTCTCCCGATGTGCTCGTTGACCTCATCTGTAATGTTAACAGAGACAATCAAGAAAGTACATGTAATTGAGCTTGCAACAGCATTGTGTTTTATCTGAAGACAGCAAAAGCTTGTTAAATGAGTCCCACAGCAGAAACCCTGGGGATTTAGCGGGGGCTGCTCCTGCAGGGGGGGTGCTTCAGGGCAGCATCATTCACACTTCCCAGAGGCCACGGCACCCCCAGGCCCCACGAATCTGCATGCCCAAAGACAGCTGCCCAAAGCCTGGCTCATGCCAGGAGCTGCTGCTTTGCTGGAAACCTTCACAAGACAATGCCGTGGTTGTCAGTGAAGTTAATCCGCTCCAGGATTTAAATTCAGCCATTTCCTGTTTTTACTCAAAGTCATCTGATCTTGGCAAACAAAGGAGGAGGCCAATAGAGTTAATGAGGAGATCCTTGTTATTTTTACTGGCACAAGGCTCAGCTATGTCTTCTGAGCTCTCAAAGACCCTGAAGGAAAAAAACAATAGAAGACAGTGACCTTTAAAGCAGGCTGCCAAGGTATAAGGTTGCATTAGCCATTTAACTGGCAAACAGGCTCTTGCTACTGCACAACCAACAGGATTAATCTCTAAAACAGCAATGAAAAAGCAAGCTTACTTTGGTAAAAAACAAACAAACAACAACAAAATCCTACAAGGTCTGCACATATTTATTCATTAGATTCATATAAGAGCTAATTTAAAGAATAAATGTATCTGTTATAAAAACTGCTATATCTCTTTTGGTCATATTTCATCGTATAATAGAAGCAGAGGCTCATGGGCTCATAGAATGGCTTGGGATGGAAGGGACCTAAAGCATCATCAAGTTCCAACCCCCCTGCTCCAGGCTGGGCTGCCAACCACTAGATCAAGTACTAGATCGGGTTGCCCAGGGCCCCATGCAACCTGGCCTTGAACACCTCCAGGTACAGGGCATCCACAACCTCTCTGGGCATCTGTTTAAGCATCTCACCATCTTCTCAGTGAAAAACTTCCCCCTAACATCTAATCTAAATCTTCCCTCCTTTAGCTTAAAATCATTCCCCCTTGTCCTATCACTACCTACCCATGTAAAAAAAAAATATTTCCTTCCTGTTTATAATCTCCCTTTAAATACTGGAAGACCATAACGAGATGACCCCACACTTTTCTCCAGACAGAACAAGCCCAGTTCCTTCAGCCTGTCTTCACAGGACAGGTGCTCCAGCCCTCTGGATCATTTTTGTGGTCTTCCTCTGAATTCAGTATTCCAGACAGGGCCTCACAAGGGCAAAACACTCGTGACACAGAGAGACAATCACTTCCCTCACCCTGCAGGCCACTTCTTTCCTGATGCAGCCCAGTGTACCAATGGCCTTCCAGGCTGCAAGCACACACTGCAGGTTCATGTTAAGTTTTTCATGTACCAGGGCCCCTAAGTTCTTCTCAGCAGGGATACACTCAAGAGGTTCTTCTCTCAGCCTGTATAGATACCTGAGATTACCCCGACACAAGTACAAAACCTTGCACTTTGCTTTGTTGAACTTCATTAGGTTCACAAGAGCCAACCTTTCCAGTTCATCAAGGTCCCTCTGGATGTCATCACTGTCTTCTGCCATATCAACTGCAACACTCAGTTTGATGTCATCAGCAAACCTGCTGAGGATGCACTCGATTCCATCATTGATAAAGATGTTAAAGAACATCAGTCCCAAGACAAACCCTTGGGGGACACCACTTGTCACTAGTCTCCACCTGGACATAGAGCCATTTCACCATAACCCTCTTACCTTCCAACCAATTCCTGACCCACCGAACAGCTCACCCTTCAAATCCATATCTCTCCAATTCAGAGACAAGGATGTGGTGAGGGACCACATCAAAAGCCTTGCAGAAATCTGGGAAGATGACACCAATTGCCTTCCTTTGTCCACTGATGCCATTACTCCACCATGCAAGGCTGTTAGATTGGGCAGGCATGACCTTCCCTCGGTGAAGCCATGCTGGCTGTCTCAGCTAACCTGCTTGTGCCTCATATGCCTTTATGTGTCTTCTAGGAGGATCTGCTCCATGATCTTCCCAAGCACAGATGTGAGGCTCACTGGCCTGCAGTTCCTCAGGTCATCCTCCCTTTCTCACAAATAGGAGTTATGTTTCCCTTTTTCCAGTCACTGTAACTTCATCTGACAGCCATGACTTTTCAAATATGATGCAAAGCAGCTTGGCAACCACATCGGCCAGCTCCATTAAGACCCTGGTGTGCATGCTGTCTGGCCCCATAGGCTTGGACACATTGGGTCTCACAAAGTGGTCCTGGATTTGCTCTGCCCTTACCGTGGCGGGCTTTGCTCCCCCAGTTCCCACCAAGAGGTTCAGGAACATTCAGGTGTGACATGAAATAACATAGCCTTGCTGTTTAGAAAACAGCACTAAAACAATCCAAAATAGCTTAGGTTGTAAGGGACCTTAAAGATCACCTGGTTCTGCCCTTTGTGCCTTGTGAAATGCCATGCAGAGCCAGTACAGTCAGTTATGGATAATGGCGGATCTGGAGATGGAGCTCCACTCTCCACTGTTGTGCCTCACTGCTGACACAAATGCTACAGCCACAGCCTTCCTGCCTGTCAGCACCCAGCACTGCTGTTCCACGTCCCTGCAGTGCTGAGGGTCTGCAGAGGGTGCTGCTTGGGCCTGTTTGCACAAGGACCACACATACGGCACAAGGCATGCTGTGGCAACTGAGTGGCCTCATGGCTTCTGCAGTAGTGGGAATTCAGTGTTTTGTTCATGTAAAGGCTGGTGTGCAAAAAGCATCACTGAGTATTGCTTTAGGACAGAAAAGTTGTGCCATATCTGGTGGCACATGCAGGCCATGTTACATGCAGGCAGAGGAAAGCAGTCAAGGACCATTTATTTACACAATGAGCTATATATCCTCTTCTGCTCTGGTTCAGGTAGAGAGATGCCAGCAGATAGCTGCTTGGGAATGAGAAGATCCAAACACAGAGCACCCATGTTCTCCCTCTGCCTGCCATGACTGAAAAGACCTTAACAACCAAAGGCTGCACTCATTTGTCACATCACTTCCAAAGGTATTGCAGCAAATCTGCTTTTCACTGGCACTTCCCCCTCAGACTTTCTCAGACAGATCTCCCATCTCCCAGCTGGCAGGAGCTGGAGGTGTTCACCTCCTCCACATCACCACCCTTCAAAATGGTTCAGCCACTGGCACAGCTATACCTGCCTGTTAGAGCCAAACACAGAGGTCAACAGTACATTATAATGCATCCCAACAAAGTGCCCTTGGTAACTTCAGCATCAAACAGAAAAGAAGGCAAATTCCAGCAGAACCTAGGAGTCATCTGAACAGTTAAACTTGTTTGTACATAAATGTGCATTTATAGAGCCACTTTTAATACGTTAGCTGCTTTACCCATTTCCTATTACTCTAAAACACAGACACTCAACCTTGGGGAGCACTGATGTGCTGTCAGGACTGATGTGCTTGGCCAGGGGATAACATGGCCTCTCCACCAGACAATGCATAGCTCTCATCCCCTGCACACAAGCTCAAGGACAATTTATCACCAAATTCATTCATCTGTGCTGCTCTGAACACAGTAGATTGAATTCAGAGAGCATCTGTGTACTTAATAGATCTATACTGCTGCTGATTATTACCACCTTGTACTATAATCAATACCAAAAGTGAAAAGTCCTTAGGGAGCAACAAAACCCTTTCTTCTGAAAGTTAAAACCCTCCTCAAGAAAAGGTCACTGGGTCTTTTTCTCTGCAGGAACGAATGTTCTCTTTCCTCAGCCCATTTGCCACACAGAAGGAATGCCAACAATTGCCAGCGAATACTGTGGGGTTTTTCCAAGTAGGAATTTTCTCATTTCATTCCCGAATACATAAATAAGGTTTAACAGGCCTGAAGTCATGAGCACATTACATTTATCTCATTAAATAAAGACACACATCTTCACCACTTTGAAAAGCTATCAGGATGGCCAGCAAACATGATGGCCTTACATCATCTACTGCAGGTCAGCTACATGCTCAAACCATTCATACAGAGCCTCGTATGGTTCCCTGATGGGGCAAACACTACTCTCACTGAGGCAATATGATGATTGCACATCACAAGAGAAGTGCTCACCCTCATGGGTGAAAGGAAGCAAGCCTTGTGTGTTAATCATTGTGGGAGCTGAACACATGGAAAGTAACAGCAAGGTGAAAAGAGCAGCTGCTGAGTCTTGATTCTCAACTGTTGCTGTAAAACAGCAGTGGGAAAAGTAAGAGCAAGCAACATTGTCATACTGTAGCTGTGCTTTTCCATAGTAAGGCTAAGAATTGAAAAAGAGAAAGTGAGGGAAGAAAAAAGGCTATATCTAAGCATAATTGCTACAGTAATTCAGTAACATTTGCTTCACCCTTCTTAAAGCAGCATTTGTCTAGCACTGAAAATGAGGTAGAAATTCTTTTTTTGTGAGGGTGACAGCACTGGAACAGGCTGCCCAGAGAGGTGGTGGAGTCTCCTTTGGAGATGCTCAAAACCCACCCGGACACTTCCATGTGCAGCCTGCTCTAGGGAACCTGCTTTAGCAGGGGCTTGGACCGTCCAGAAGTCCCTTCCAGCCCCTACAGTTCTGTGATTCTGTGAAAATGCATAACTTGTATATGAATGCTATTTTAATAAGGAGATTATTTTAGGTGATAACCTTAGGCCGTGTAATAATACATATTAGTAGTAAGAGTTAAATCACAAATGTACATCCTCAAAAAGCCGAGCACACCCTGCAGAAATGGCCAGGCAATCCTGCCAAACAGTAAAAGGTTTTTAACATGTTTTAGCATTCTGGAGAGATGTCAAAATAGTAAATGTAATGGCATAATGAATACTCAATACCAATATTTCATATGAAATATGATGGGCCAGTTCTGCATCAGAGGTTCCAATGAATCTACGCTAAGCTACAAAATGCAAAGGGAAATGAGGCTCTAAAATGGTCCTTGGCCACTGTTTAGCTTCAAGTATGTGTCTGAATAATGAGGAGCTGAGAAGAATAAACTAAACTGGGGCTCAGAAAGGGGAAAAAATGTTACATTAATTAGATCCTGGCCACTGAGGCCTGGCAAACAAAGGAGTGATCTATATTACTGCAGCCCCACAGAAAGAAATACAGCCAAAGCCAGGGAAGACAGATGAACCAAACTAGTAGAGATGGCATTTGAGTTCCGGACAGATGGAAGACAACCCCGATCTTACGACAAAAGAACAGAGCCCAGCTATAAGGTCCTTGTATTAGCAATGGTGGTAGACTTGGTGAAGAGCTGACTATCAGGGTTACTTCTTCCTTGGAGCAGCAGCAGCCACCAACCAATTCACTGGCCATGTCTGTGACAACCCACCCTGACAGATAGGATGTCTCCACACAACTTCTTAACATCCTGCTGTGGGGCTGGCTGGCTTGTCTTCATGGTGAGGATAAGATGTGAATCAGTTCTGCTTTGTACAAGTGTTCAGCACAAAGTGGCAGCATCGGGCTGGTTAAATTTGGACTCAAAGCACAGGCCTGCTCATTTGGCACAGGGCTGCTCTCCTCTCACTGTCATGAGCCGTAAAATCCTATTTGATCCGTTGTATATAAAAATAAAAACCTAAGCTTTCACTTCTCTCTAAGAGAGAGCAAATTTCTGCCAGAAGATGAGAGGCACACTCTGCCTTTGCAGAGATGTGACTGACCTCACCATCCTGGAGGCCTGCCAGAGCAGCTACCTGGTGGTTGTTACCAGATTAGTCTGGGATATGGAGGGGTCTCTGACCCACACATATCAATTTGATGCTAGAAATTGCCTCTCATTATCTCCCTTCCTCCTTGCTTCTGTGACAAGAAATGGTACTGGTGACTTCTGACAAATAAGACATTTTGGAATAAACAAGCAGAAACAGGGAGAAAGCATTTACTGCAAGTAGCTGGCAAACAACTTTTATCTTGGTCTTCTGCCATGCTGTATTTTTTCCCTTAGGCCCTGGTTTTGATAAACAGATATTTTTTCCAGTACTGAAAATTTGGCGCAAAATCTGTTTCTTAAACTGAAATTTGGCTCCCAGAAGGCTCCCAGTACAGAGAGACCCACATACTGACCACCTTTTTCTGGTCCATCAGTTTGGTTTCTTAAGACACATTAACATACTTACTTTCTAGTTTGCCCTTTTTCCTTCTGATTGATGCCCGAAGCAGATCCGAGCCCTCTAAGTCTTCCTGAAACCGTTTTGCCTTCACTTCTGAAAACCATTCACCTGTCACAAACTTCTTCTTCTTTTCATCCTTGATGGAGCCTTGTATCCGTCTGAAAGTCAAGGGAAATGTTACATGCTTAAACTATCTCCAAGGTTTCAACTTTCCCTGAGCTACTCTCATAACAGCTGTACATACAGTTCCCCCGTCTGCTATTACAAAGGATGCTGAGATTATTCTCTGCAATCACAAGGGCCAAACTAACATAAAAATTAAAGTTGTTAAGTTGCTTTAAAAACAAAACAAAACAAAACAAACAGCACCTTGCAAGCAAAGATCTTCATCTTTTACAAACTACATGTTCAAAACTGAGTCACCTCATAAGATTTGACAATTTCATTTGCAGCTCTCAGGGTTTGGGAAGGGGTGGGATTGTTTACAGGTCTTGTGCTTCTTTGTTTTATTTGTCTATTAATCCCTTTATGAACTGCAAACCTTTTTGGATCAGATCTGCAAACTGTGGAAATAAATTATGCAATTCAGGAGACCAACCTGGCTCTTCAGCATTCTCCCTGCACACTTCTCTTCCTGCTCCCTCCTGCTGCCATGCTGACGTTGGCACACAAACAGTTAGCTCTCCTTCCTGAGCACAGCTTTTCTTACTGTAACTAGCTTGGGCACACCCAGGGCTGGTTTTTGGCACCTAAATCTCTCAGTGTTTCATTTGCTAGCCTGTATTTTTAACTCTTTTCCAGCAAATTTGTTTTTATATGACTTCTTGGTGTAGAAACCTTTGGCTGCCACTGTCTCCCATTTACTACAGCTCAGAGTCCCTGAGACCTGAGAGGCCATCTGCCCCATCAGGGTGCTGGGCCAGAGGAGATTCAAGCACATATTTTAATCCTGTTGACACCAGATCAGTGTAATGCCATTGAGTTGGTCTCCCTCAGCAAGCTGGCTGTGGTAGAGCCAAACATGTTCACATTGGCACAGGAGGTCTCACTGCAGTCAGCTGCACTCATAGCAAGTGGCATTTGGCACTGCTCTCTGGAGGATCTAACTCACCTGGCTCCCAAATGAAAGCCTTTTGTGCAATGTCTCCCAAAGAGCAAAGCAAAATCATCCAACACTTTCCCTTAAACCTCCACAACAAAGCAGAAATTTTACATTTCAGAAATAAAGGGGAAAAAAAAGTAAGAAAGAATACCCTAACAAACCTTAACAAAGAAAAACAATGGATTTTTTTTTTTTTAATGCTTCAATTTGGGTGAGAAGCAAGAGCCTGTTGCAAGACTGCCCATTCCCCCTTCAAGCCCTGAGCATCCCTCCAACACAGGCTTTCCTCTTTTTCAGCTTACCAAGAAGTCAAAGACATCCTTATCAGGGGTAGCCAGGCACAGTGCCATCCACACCCACTGAACTATTTCTTTCCAGCAGCGGAGAATTTGGTGCCAGCTTGCCAAGCCTGGAGCATACTGTCAACATGGATGGCATTTAAAAAGTGACTACAGCACCAAGCAATCCAAATTAGCTGGCCCCAGCCCTAGGATGCCCTGCAAAAATTGAGCTGTTCGTGGGACCTCTCATTGCCCCTCTCTCTGCCTGCATGATGGATACTGTGTGCACACCCACCTTGGAGGTGAGAATGTAAAGCCTCATTTAATAACACTGAGAGATTTCTGTGCTACTGGGTGAGGAATATAAGGCAGCAGATAGTCTCCTGCACTGACCTCTGCCACTGAGAAATCAGCACCTTTCCCAAAGCAGGAAAGGGAGGAGTCCCCTTCACATCTCTACAGGGTACTCCCTAACTCCAAAGGAGAGACCAGCCCAACAGTCCTGCAGAGAGGTGACAGCATGCAGGCTGAAAAGCAGGATGTGCAATGAAAAGATCTTTCATGATCCAGGCATGAAGGGACAGTACTGCTGCAGCCTGCACCCCTTCCTGTGCCCACGCATACACACACTCCTCTATAAGAAGTAAAATATCCCCCAGGTGGGAGCTCACGACTTGCTGTTATTGAACGCTGTCTCACCTGATGCGATCCCCATCTTTCTTCTTCAGCTCTGCATCTCTCTGCAGAACCTTCATCAGCTTCTCATACTCCTCCTCAGTCAGGAAGCTCAAGTCCAACATGTTCCCTGCAACGTTCTTCAGCAGTTCAGACAGATGGAGCAATGACACACCGGCAACTAATCCAGCTCAGCCTGCTGCAATGCCATGGGCAGACCCCAGTGTGCTGAGCAAGACAAAGCTGGAGCAAAAAGGGCTTCATTCACAACAGCATGGCTTGAATGGAAGTCGCGTTAGCATTTGGACCTACGCTTCCAGGCTGTGGGCAGCTCTTCCCGGGCACGTTTTGCTGCTTTGCGTGCCTTCCCCTGCCAGGAAAATACTCACAGCAAAATGAGGCTCCTCTGCTTTCCTTCAGGCACAGTCGTAGCAATTTGGAAGCCAGCGTCAATCAAACAGGCAAGCACAGTGAGAAGCAAGCTCACCGCCTGCCTCAACAGGCACGGAAGCTCAGCGCAGCCCCAGCACCTCTGGTACGCGCCTCCTTCAGCAGAGAAGTCTGCCTCCGTGGAGTTCAAGCATCCCTGCAAAGAAACAACATCAAGACGCCTTTCTGATAAGTGCGACATATGGTAACCAAATGTGTACACAGGGGGTTCGTATTTGTTCTTCAGCACAAGTTCCAAATCAAGCTGCCCTACTTTCCTCATCATCCTACAGCATCTCGCACAGCACTAACCTCTCCAAGATGGGGTTTTATTTTAGCTGCTTTCCTGCTAACAGGTAAACAGCTGACTCAGCATGCTTTAAGCAAGACATGCGTATGAACTGCCAAACTGCCTACTTGTTTTTTATCTACATTTTTCCTATTCCTTATTCCTTCCTGCCTTAAATGAAACAGAGGAAGCAGTCAGCCTTCGTAAAGCAATTGGAAAATGCGATCTGCAGGTATTATTGCTGCATGTTAGGCCATGAAATACCAGAGGCTGCTCATTTTCTAATATCAGCGCACTCCGCCTTGTACTGAACTGATATTTGCTCTTCAGACAGCGTATGTGCAGATTGCTCAGCATTTCAGCAGAGACCAGTAATGGCCAGAGGCTGCATGGTGTGGAGGGAAGGTAAATTACGTTTTGCAGTGCTGCTTTACTCCTTGTCTTCCCCCCCGGCCAACCGGAGGGCAGTAAAGTGCACCTCCAAGGGAGGAAAAGTTCTGCTGGAGTCCATGTAAATATTTCCCAGCTCATCAGGTGGGACTTTCCCACTGAGTCAAAGCCCATCGGGTGACTGTGGATTTCACCACCCTTGGCTTTTTCTACCAAAGCCACAGCCTTGTAGCCGGAATACTGAAAATTAACAAATCCCAGTTTTCATGGCAAATATCATCTGACAATCACCATGCCCATTCCCTGACCTCAAGGCCTCTATCACTCTCAGCGTGTCTGCCTTATCTGCCCTCAGCCTCCACATTCAACATCTCCAGGTCCTGCAGGTGCTCCTCAGAGCCGTGGTTCAGATTATTTCTGATCCCCCTTCAGCCTGCATCCACACAATGCACCTCTTGGACTGGCATGCCAGAGCCAAGCATAGGAGTTTCAGCTGGACTTTGCTGATGAAACATCGTTTTATAGATCTACATTATCTGACAGCTGATACATCCCCAAGTGTTTGTTCTTTTTCTCAAAATGGTCTAACATGAAGCACAGCAACTGTCAGAACACACACAAAAAAAGGCTAAGTAATGAATGAACATAACAACTCTGTAATTATTATAAAATAATTTTTGGACAGAAAAAAGCTTAACATGCATATGTCACACTGCAACTACAGCCTTTATCATCTAGGAAACTATTGATGCCACATTATTGAAAACAAGAGCAGTAATAAAAATCTGTTTCTCTGCCGAAACCTGCATTTTGTCCAGCCCAGCAGGGCACTGGCACTTTCGTTATGCTCAGCTAACTCTCTCAGGCACAACCTTACTTCTAGAAGTACAAGTTTACAAAAGTTTCTGGGAGGGATTTTATTGGGGAAACAAAACAAGCAAACAAAAAGGATCCAGTGACACATTTCTCACAGTATTTGCCCTTCGAGAACTTGAAATTACTTCAGCAAACCTTTTCAGCAGACTCATATTTATTTATTAGTCCAGAAGTCAATCAGAAAAATACCACTTACTTTTTTACAGAAAAAAAATGGCTATTTTTTTTTTTCCCCTGAGAAAGTTTTGTCTTATTGTAACGGTTACCTGAGAGGAAAAGGTTAACAGAACCCAAACAGCCAACTCCTTTTGTTTCAAGAGTCAAAAAGCAAAGCGCCTCCCAGGCTTGCTGGGGAAGAAAGGTGCTGCATCCCAGCAGCCCCTGACACAGGAAGGTTCCCAGCTCACCCTCTGAGGACACAGCTCCTGGCAGCAGACACTGACCTGGAGAGTCCAGAAAGTGAGAAGTGCCTGTGTCAGTGTTAATGGCACCCACTGGGAGCCGTGCAGGGCAAAGGCAGGCTGCCCACAGGTGCTGCAGCACTGTGATGCCCTGTGCTGGGGAACAGCCTGAGGTCCTGCTGTGTGTCATGACACAAAGGCAGGCAAGTGTTTCACCACATCTCCAGTGACAACTGTGAATCTGAGCAGAGGAGGTCAGATGCAAAGCACTTCCTTCCATCTAACTGCTTTTTAGAGATAGCGATAATCACAAGGAGGTCAACACACGCTCTGCAGTATGAGAGCTGTGGGTGCAGAGACAAGCAGAAGCATGACCTGCTTGGGGGCAGAACTGCCTGCATCTCCTACTGTGCTGATTTCTGGTTTCTTTTGGCCACCACACCAAGAAGCAGCACATACTTCAATGAGCAGAGAATATCAGTGTGCAGTTTAGCAACAGAGGAGTGGCCACACAGGACTAGGCTGCAGGCCCGTGTCACTGCTCATCTTCTCCGAGGATGACAGCATGCAGCTGGGAGAAGACAGCACACAGCCTGCACCAGGCATCCTGCAGGTCACAGGGCACAGCTCCCTAAAACAGGAGCAATACCTGTGCATTTTGCAGATTTCCAGGATTACTTGCAGAGCTCACATTAATTTCAAGCATTTGTGATACTCTCAAAGCCCCACAGACTCACTATGCCTGAAATGAAAAAGTATGTGCCCTTGTGTTTTGACCCACCACCTGCTTGCTTCATTTGATATCCCCATGCATTTGATTGCAAAAATCTAGTGATGTTTACTCTGCTTTCACCTACTCTGTGCTGCTCCTTTTGCAGACCTGTGTCACTGCTGTGGTTTCTCATCTAGAAGGGAGTTTGATGTTTCTCCTGTCTAGGTGTTATTCAGGGAGCTTTCATCATTCCTCTCACCCCTCTCCGTGCCTGATTCAGCTTACTACAGAACTACCCACCAGTATTGAGATGCAAAAAGACTCTTCTCAACAGTAGCAACCCCTGCTCCCTTCCCTAGCTTGGCAGAGAAGCAGCGTGAGCCGTGCCTGTGGCAGGAGGAGCTGGGCAATGCCAGAGCAAGCAGCCCGCTGGCCCCAGGACAGAGGGGAGCACCGAGCACCAGCAGAAAAGCTAAGAGAGGTAATCACTAAAGGAATAAGCCTTCCTGTTGTCAGCTGTGCACTGGCGATGAGCAGTCCTGCACGCTGTGGAGCTGACAGCCAGGGAAAGCCCAGGTGCTAAGACTCCCCATTTTACAGAGCCAAGATACAAACAGCAGCGAGCTGCCCCAGACTGTACTTTTCTCCTTTCAGCAAGGCATCAGCAGCAGCACCAACCCCAAAGGAACAAATAAACACCAACCTCGTTTCAGCAGAGCGCAGCACCGTCTCACGGGGCGCACAGCAGCGCTGCGCACACCAAGCAAAAGCAGCCTGGACAACGCTCGTTTCCTCATCCCTTGGCAGCTATGCCAACACGTGACCCGAGCTGCCAGGATCCCCGCACGGCAGTGCTGCACAGGGCCACAGGCAGCAGGATCTGCTCCACCAGGTGCAGCCCTGTGAGCTTTGTAAAACAAACAGTGCCTCCGCTCCCAGGTGAGGCTTCTGCAGCAGCAACAGCTAGTTATGAAGGAGGGTACGTTACAAACCTGAGTGACTGCTTCCTCTATCTTCAAGTTAGTTTTCTTCTCATTACAGAGAAGGGTAACATTTGGGGGAGTTTTGTTTGTTTTTCTAGGTAACACTCTTCCAAACAGTTTTATTGGGTGAAAATTAAATGCTTGCTTAGCCTGGCGGGCACAAAATAGCTCCTTTTGGACAGACAGATGCTGAGAGGGATGCCTCCGTTATGCTGGATATCTATTTTATTTCTGGAAGATTTCCCTGAGCTCCAGCACCAAACAGAACTACGTCTCTGCTCTTCACCACCAGCCCCATGCTCAGCTGCCCAAACCTACTCTGGTTTCCCAGTGCACCCCTCTAGATACCCATGCCAAGCACTGAGTGCTGGGACGTGTTGTCCAGTCTAACATCACTCGCTGCAAGCCAAGCAATCTCTGTGACCAGACACTGCTTTGCATTTAAAGGAAGAGGAAAGGTTTAGGAACTTTAACCTGCCAATCAGCCAGCCAGGACGCTCTTCTGATAATGGAGCATTTAACACCTTGATTTCAACAGCTGGGTCAGCATGGGATCACGCAGATCTGCCTCATTGCTGGGGCTGAGCAGAGGTCCGTATAATAAAGATATGACAACACCCCTGCCCACGACACAACAAAACCCGGAACAGATAACACTGATCTCACCAGGCTATTCATAGCCTGATGAAAATAGCAGTGAGCAGGAAAGGCTGCTTGCCTCTGTCCATACCTTGTTATCACACATCCTGTTACAATATAAGGAAATAACCTCCTTACGCCTTACAATGTGTGAACACTTCCCAGTGCCCTTATTAGTTAAGACAACTCTTGTATGGCAGGTGAAGCCAAGAATGGCATTGCACTAATGATGATGGATGTGATCCTGGCACCACAGATCCCAATGTCTGCTCTACTGAACAGGAGAAGAAATACCTAGCACCGAAACTGCTACACCTGTATGCAGTCATCAATCCTGTCTCATGCTAAGCCCCACTCTCCCCCCCATCTTACTTCTGGTGTCAGCACCATGGAATACACAGTGGCATTACCACTGGTACTATACAGCCACAACAAGGATGGCCATCATGGTGCTCACAAGCAGAACGATGCGACATCTGACTGACCTTCATCAGCAGAGAGATAAAAAAAAAAAAAAAAAAAAAGCAAACTACAGGATGGCCTCTGGGAGGAATGGGCTGAAAACACACATCTCCCTTTTTCCCCGTCACAAAACAAGGTGATGCCTTTTGGTTAGCTGCTGCAATGCTCTGCTGCAAGGCATCACAAGAGCCCTTCCGAGGTGCACCTTTTCCTCTTGCTCTGCAGTGCACCGCTTATGGCTATGAGCTGCCCAGTCATTCACAGACCCACAGTGGTCGTGAGCCAGGAGAACAGATTTAATACAACTGCTTTCTGAAAAGCTTTTCTACTAAAAAAGCTGCGGTTGCACTGCCTGCAATGATATTTTGTCTGAGCTGTCCCACTGAAAGGACAGAAGAGCTCTGCTGTTCCTACCCAACGAAATCCCAAGCAGCTGAGCAGCCTTCAGCCGAGTGACAGCTGATAAGGACTGCCTCCAAACAAAGCAGGCAGTTGTGCAGTCCACACATAAATGCATCTGTTACCATCAAACAGTCAAGGCTGAATTCTGGCAATACCAGACTGGTTTCTTTTCAGCTATCTCCAAAAAGCAAAATTACTCAAGTTCAACTCCCCATACATTTAACATTGATCTTTCTCCACTCAGCAAAAGTTGCACCTGACACCTGACTTTGTCACTCCACCCCAGAGCAGGTGGGAGGGTGGCAGCCGTGCCCCAAGTGATGGCTTCTTTCTCCCACCTGTATCCCAGGAATAAAAACACTGTTCAGTTCATCAAGAGCACAGCCATGCATGGTTTCCCTAGCTTTCAGTCTGTACCTCACTTTCCAGAAATGACAGAATCCAGCTGCTTTCCTGTCACCTTTTCCTTCCTCCTCCCCCAGGCAGCTTCAGGAAAGGATATCCACTGATCATGAATGCCCCAAGATGTGCTTTGGGATAAAGGAACGCAGGAACGTATCAGAGCTGTAGGTCTTAACCCAACCCCACGAGAGCAGCTGGAATTAAACAATTGAGAGCAACAATACAATGGCAGGCAGAAGAATTAGTAAAGTCCTCTATTCTGTGCACATGGAGAACACATAATTGAGGAAGTGCTCCACTGACCACATAAGAAATGAACTCTGTTTATTTGCATTTACCCCTGTGCTTCTAGAGAAAGTACGAGAGCACAATATTACATGAGCTTCCTTTTGAAGAATGCTGCATGAGCACTTCTATCCCCTGCGCACTTCTACCCAACCCAACCTAACTGTTTCATGATTAATCACCCACACTATCTACCTCCCTCCAGCCAGGATTGCACGGGTGAAATTAGCATTCCATGCAATTTACTTCCTTCTATCCATTTTTAATTAAATGACTCATCCCACCCAGGGTAAACAAAGGACTGAGGTTCTGGGTCCTTTGCTATTATTTCTTAGAGTCAGCACCATCAGAGGAGAGGTGTGACTCAGGCTCTGTAAGGTCAATAAAGCCTCTTAGTGGTATTAAACTAGCAATCCAAAGTTTTAGTTTAAATATTTGAGACTTGTGTTTATTTCATAGGTGGGAACTATTTGCAGATCTTGCAGGACGTAGTTCACTGTAATTCTGCACACTGCCAGAACACAAATAAACAAGCACAGCCCCTGGGACACCAAGCAAACCTCTCATACCTCACAGAACCAGGATTGCCATCCTCTCCCAGCTGTGAGAGGATGCCAACATTTCAGAGGCTTTGCTGTAAGAGCCACCCAGCCAGACGTGATCCATCCAGCCCAGCATAGGTTGGGAGCCTCAGCTCAGAGGCAAGAGGGAAGTGCTCACACAGTGTCCTGAAGTACACCTGGCTGTGGGGAGGAGGCAGGGGCTTGTGCTGAGTTTTGTGCTGAGGTTTGTGCTATGCCTGCCCTTCCATCCTCAAGACAAAAGGAGTTTTAAAAGAATTTGCCGTTCTCTGATTGTTGGTTTGCAACAACCCACCATTCCCATACCTTCACAGGGGACGAGTGTTGAGCTCCCCATACAACCCCCCTACGTTTCTGCTGCTCAGACGTTCCCATCAGAGAAACACCTGTTGTTCAGCCTTCCCTCCCACCAAGGGAGGACAGCAGCCTTGAAGAACCCAGCTCTCCTGCTAGGAGTCTTCATGCTATAAAAGATACTCCTCAAAGCTTCTTCTTAGCCATTAATTTGTGACATGCTTGAAAATGCAACAACAAACCAATATGTGGTAGCTGCAAGTGAGAAACCAGAAGCATCTTAAAGCCAGACCCCACAGGTGGCAGCCACATACAGAGACCAACCAACCCCCTGACCTCGTTTCTTACTCATCCTCACAACCTGTGTACTTTTAATGGTCAGGAAAGCTGGAAAGCATGCTTTGGCCAAGTTCCAACAAACAAAAGGCACAGCTAAGGATGCAGGACAAAGCAACCATGCGTGACAACTTGTCTTTTTTTTTTTTTTTGACCCTCAAAAATATTTGCTGACCTCAACTCTGCTTTCATTTCACCACGATTTCCCCGTGCTCGCTTTCAAGTGTGACATGTCATAAATTGCTGTCCTGACCCTGCCTGTTATGCCCCAGTAACACCACGTTTGCACTGCCTACCTGGCACTTGGCAGTGGGTTGGGATGCACGGCTCAGTTAAACCAGGAGAGCTGCACCCCAGCACTGCCCACATTTCTCCTGGGTGGGGGAGGTTGGTGATTTATCCCTCCCACTCCTCCGGCAAGTGGGACTTGGCATTGAGGGCACAGCCTCAGAATCTGAAGCTATTTGCCAAACAAACAAATAGAAAAAAACAACTATTTCTTTAAGGTGGCATGAGCTCAGAAGTCAAACACACATGGAGCCCAATTCCTTTGTACTCCTGTGCCTACTGAGCTCAGTGATCTGAGACAAAGTTCGAAGCTGAAAGCCATGGGAAAGCAGGACTGCTTGTTGAGGAAAGTTTGTATGCAGTAGTTTCTTCCTTCTGTATCAGTGGTGGCATCCCAAGCCTCGGCCATGCCTGAAATAACTAAAAAATAGAATGAAGGTAACTGGGGTGCTTCTCATCATGGTTTAAAACAAGGTACACTCAGAAAACATAATTCCTTTCAGCATCTGGGAAAAGGGAAGCTTTGAAAACAGCCTTTCAGGAATTGAATTCCTGATCTGTAATTCCAGTTCCTGATACCAAAGCACAGAAAGGCTACAGCCAGATTCTGAGGTCAGCCCCACATCATGAGAGAAAAATAAAGCTCACAACCACGTCTCATCCACCATCCACACACCACACCACGCTCCGTCATCTCTGGATTTCCAAACTGAGCTGAGGCCTGGACTGGGCCGTGCTGTTCCTGGCTGAGTACAGAGACATGCAGTGCTCCCACCTGCAGTGCACCGGGTTTGTTCTGTGAACACAAGACACTGAAAGGGAACTCTAGAGAGAGCAATTCCATTACTGAAGCTGCACCTACGTCTTCTGTCACAGGCCTTTTTGCAAGAGGAAAAATAGATTGGCCGATTTTCTTCCAGGAATAATGCAACTTTCCAGTGTTAACACAGGCTCAGGCATGAATTCAGTCATTGGAGCCATTTATGCGCTCAAGCTGGATAACTTGAGTGGGACATGAAATACTTTTGGAAAGTCCTGTCATTCAGAACAAGAAAAAAAACCCAAACACCTGATTCTACTGTCTGTGCTCACAGTTATGTGAAAGATCTCGTGTTTATGCATTCCCAGCAAAGGATGATTCACAGACATGAGGATAGGGAGAAGTTACACGAAGCTCACTGACTGCAGGTAAGACAGATGTACTTAGCACAAGTAGCACAAATCCGCATAAGGAAATCTGTCATTTAATCTAGCTCAAGAGAAGTTCAGGTAAATTCAACAAGAAATCCAAGCACAGATTGCAGAGATTTAATTAAATCGCTAAACATAAAATCAGCTTCATATGATCATCTGATACCATCTTCTTACACACACGGTGTTTCTGCCACCTGTGCTGCTACACCAATACCCATACAACCTGCAATGAGGTGAGGAAGGCAGCTTTCCAGGTAAGAGTAACAAGGTCACCTGAAAAATGCTGTCTTACGTCAAGATGCTCGAGGTCCGTAAGGGTTAGGAGTTTTTTATATGAGCGGTGACAACCCTCTGCCAGACCTCACTACGTGATGCTGCCGGCAAGAAAAAGCCCAGCACAACGTAA